TCCAACTTCACCAGACGAAGAAGAAAAAACCTGGTTGAAGTTTTTTCTTATTCTCTATTAATCCAACCTCCAAGAAACAAAAAGAAAATACAAATTAAAAAAAATGTTTTTGAACGATAGCCATCTATTTTGTATTGCTATGTTGGCGTGTTCTGCAACAAGCATAGAAAGATCACTATTGGTGTGATCTGCAATGAAGAGATTGTCGATCTTCATATTCAGTTTTGCAACATGCATAGACTTGAACCGGAGAAGAACAAAAAAGAAATTCAGACTTGAACCAAAGAAGAAGAAAGTGAATAGTAAAGGTGAAATGATTCAAATGCAGAAAGTAAGATATAATAAATGAGACAAGCGCCTTTTGATAAAAAAATATTAAAACAATATTAACAAAGTTGGAGATAATTAATGAGGCATGCCTCTTATTCGAGAAATCATCATAGCCTCTACAATAGCTTGTCATCATTCAACTCTTTTATTATTAAAATAGTATTAAAAAGAAAGTTTTCAAAAGCTATCATTTGTTGTGCTTTAATAAAATAATTCAAGGTGCAAGGAAGGTTTGGTTTGTAAAGTGGACCTAGAGAAGGCTTATGATCATGTTAGTTTGGCCTATCTAGATTACATGTTGGACAGATTGCATTTTGGTCAGAAGTGGAAAAACTGGATGAAAGTTTGTGTCACCACCCCTTGTTTCTCAATCCTTGTCAATGGGGCAGCTAAAGGCAAGTTTAGAAGTTCGAGAGGGCTAAGACAAGGTGACCCTCTGTCACCTTTGTTGTTTTTGTTAGTCATGGAAGGGCTAAGTAAGTTGACAGAGAGAGCTTCAGATTTAGGTCTGATTGGTGGTGTTGAGGTTTGTCCTGGTGGTTCAAGAATCTCTTTTTTGTAGATGATACTTTATTTTTTTGTGAGGCTTCTTCGAACCAGGTTCTTAATCTCCGCTTTCCACTGTGCTGGTTTGAAGTGGTTTCAGGTTTGAAAGTCAATTTCTCTTAGAGTGAGATGCTGCCAGTTGGCAACATTTCAAAGCTTCAAGAGTTGGATGATGTGTTAGGGTGCAAAACAAGCAGTTTCCTTCCTCATATCGTGGCCTTCCCTTAGGGGCAAAGAGTAACTCAAGTAGTATTTGGAACCCTATTCTAGAAAGAGTTGACAGGAAACTAACTTCTTAGAGAGCTAGATATCTTTCCAAAGGGGGTAAGTTGGTATTAGTCAGCCTGCCGACTTACTTCATGTCTCTTTTCTTAATGCCTTCTGAGGTGGCTTTGAAAATTGAAAAAAAAAAGATGAGGGATTTCCTGTGGTTAGGGTGGAAGGATTCCTTGAAGTACCGCTTGGTAAATTGGGATGAGATTTGCAAACCTTTTTCTCAAGGTGGGCTTGGAATTAGGAAGGTGAAACATTTCAATTTAGCACTCTTGGTAAGGTGGTTCTGGAGATTCTCAAGTGAAACTCATGAATTATGGAGAGTGTTAATCGCTGAAAAATATGGTTTCAATGATAATGGATGGGATGCAGGTGGGTCTCAGCAGTCCTATGGGTGTAGCATCTGGAAAGGCATTTACAAAGCTTACTCTCTTTTCATCAAAGGCATTTCTTACAAAGTTGGGAAAAGCAGCAGACTGAAATTCTGGCTGGACCCTTGTTGTGGTGACTTCTCTTTAAAAGAGAGGTTTCCTTTATTGTTTGCTGCAGCTGAAGGCATCCTGGTTTCAGTTGCAGATTGCTTTGCTCAGAAGGGTGGTACTCTAGTCTGGGTTCCTTCTCTTAGAAGAAATTTTAATAATTGGGAGCTGGATCAGGTGGTAGAATTATTTTCTGTGCTCCAAGCCCAACATCCAGAATCGGCAAATCATCTTCTCACTAATTGTGGCTTTGCATCAGTGGTGTGGCAGAACTTTCTTAGAGCTGTAAATCTGAGTTGGTGCTGGCCAGAATCAATCTCCTCCGTATTACATGGGTGGCGAGTCCAAGGAATGTCCAAAGAAGGGAAGCAAGTGTGGTCTGTCCAGCTGCAGTCTTGTGGGCAATCTGGTTAGAAAGGAACATCAGGATTTTTGAGCAGAAAGCCAAGACTGAGGCTGGGGTGATTAACTTTGTAGCAGAAGAGCTGAGGAGTTGGTTGTCTATTTCTGATATTTTTAAAGAAGTGTTTTGTTCTGGTTCTTTTTTGAGGGTGAATTTTTTTGGGGAGGGGCTTTAATGCAGAATTTGTACAGCCTCTTGTAAAGAACTTTATACTATTTGATAATCAATACACTACTGTTACCTTTTCAAAAAAAAATAATAATATACTAATGTATTTAATATGAATATAATTACAATCATCATTTATTGTAGTACAACTTATATGGTTACAATGGCTATAATTGAATCGAATATTTATCGAATCGAATTGAGTGCTATTCGAATTCGATTCAATAAATTAATCGGTAGAAATGTGTTATTCGAATTCGACTGGTAATAGTATTCGAATAATCCGAATTTGATTCGATTATGTCAAATCTCAAATTTGAACTCGGATTTTTGAATACCATTTAAACCCCTACTCAACACAACTCTTCATCTTCTTTAATTGAACTAAGCTCAACTCCTTTTTCATTTTCCAATAACCTCTCCTCTTGGTGAGCCACATGGCCACTACTTAAATGCTCTGAATTACTCTCCTCTTCACGCCTAGAATTTACAAGCTATCCAATTTCAAAAATAGACCAATTGTTGAAATGGTGATGTAGGATGGGAATGGATTTGTCTAGGATTTGGAATTGACAAATTCAGGGTGTCAAGTGTCAACCTGTCTCCTTTGGGTAATGATTAGAGGATGTGGAGTTCTACTTGTTAAGGGCAATTTTACTTGATGAAGTGGTTCTACCTAGAGGCAACAGATTCTATGGCAATGTGTATGGGGTGCAGTTTTATGTAAGGCTGTCAATGGTATTCAAAAATATGATTTCGAAGATTCGACATAATAGAATCAAATTCGAATATGACCAGATTCAATTTGATAAATATCTGAATTTGACCGATTATTTAATTCTTATATATAATATATAAAATATTTAAATATTTTATATAATTTATATATGATAATTAAATTATACAAACATTTTATATATTTATTAACATAGTTTTCAAGGTGCCAAGGCAAGGCTAGGCAACAGGGGGCGCCTTGTCGCTTAGTTGCCTTGGTGATGGATTTTTTTAAGTAAAAACCACATATCCTAGGGTATTTGCCTAGGTTCCATAACCATCTTTGCTTAATAACTATCCATAATTTTCATAAGAAAACTATAAACTTCATGTTTAAGTCTAGAAAATCAAAATATTTATGAGAAGAAAAAGAAGAAAGAAAAGAAAATTCAAAAAGTATAGGGGTTGATTAGACATATTTAAGTAAAATATGTTGATTAGACAAAATTTAAGTTCTTCCCTTATTGGTTCAGATTTTGAAGTCTTTGAGGGTTCAATACAGCAGTTAGCAATCTTTGTGTTGATTAAACCCAAACAAATAATTAAATAATAAAAAGAAATTAGTTTATAAGCACAAAAAATGAATGTTTTTGTTCAATAATGTCTATTTTATAATTATAATCTCAAAAAAATAACAATATAAAAGTATTTTATAAGACAGTATGCAAAACTGCTTGGCGACTGGGCAAGGTGAGCCTCCAAGGACGCCTTGTCGCCTAGATGTCGCCTTGACAACTATGCTTATTAATTACCTAAAATAATCAATCAGTCGAATTCGAATCGAATATTCGAATATTAATTTTCAATATCTGTCGAATATTGAATTTTCTAATTGGATTCAAATTCAGATATTGCCTGATATAATTCGAATTCGATCCGTTTACACCCCTAGTTTTATGGGGGCTTTGGAGGATCTTTGAAAAGAGGTACTGGAAAGTGGAGTAATTAAGTGAACTCACAAGGATTAGGGCTGCACATTTGGCATTGACATGTGAAGAGTTTTTTTTTTTTTTTTGGTATTTAACACAACACATTAATAACTCTCGAAGGCAGGTGGTAATAGCGGGATTCGAATCCGCATATCCTCTGGGACTACCCAGCTAACGTACCAAGTGGCCACCACTCAGTTGATGACATGTGAAGAGTTTAAAGGTGTCACTTTGAATGATATCCTAAGGGAGTGGCAAACTGTTGCTGGGGTTTGAGTTTGCAAGCAGCAAAGGGGAATGGAGTGGTCCCTTCCAGCAGCAGGGGTGTTGAAACTCAACTTTTATGGCTGTTGCTTGGGAAATCCATGGATGTCTGGTGTGGGGGGTGGGTGTAATAAGAGATCAAGTGGTAACGCAATAGTTGGGTTCTCAGTCCCAGCTGGTCAGGAAACGTCTCTGAAGGCTGAAATATTGGCTCTAATTCAAGGGTTGATGAGATTGCAGGGGTTGAGGGAGGTGGAAGTGAAGGGATTGTCAAACTGTTATCAGTTGGATGAAGCCACAGGATTAGACACAATGGGAATTTAGGCTGTTGATGAGGTTGGTTCATTCTCTAGGTGTCACTTTGAGCTCCTTCCTAGGAGTGTTAATATGTTGGTAGATGCAGACTCATTGGTAAGAACTGGGGGTTGGGGGGGGAGGGGGAGAACACCTAGAATGGGGTTGCCCAGGGCTGGACTGTAATCTGTAAAAGTTTGTTATTGTTTTTGTTGTTTTATATATCCATTTGTCAAGAGATATCATGTACTCTTTGGCCTGCTTCTCTCCTTGGTGAGGAGTTTGGTGATTCATTTCAATGAAATTCATTCAGTTATTTATAGAAAAAGATTGTTCTGCTGATAAAAAAAAAGATCGTTCTAAAAAATGAATGAAATTCATTCAGTTATTTATAAAAAAAGACTGCAAATCTAGAGGAAAGAATGAATGTGATTTCCCGTTCCTTGGCTTTTCGCTCTGCATTATTATTTCATCCTCTCATGTATCCATGTATATTTATATTCTTTGTCTTTACATATTCCATTTTTATTTCTTTGTTAGAAAGGAGAAAGTTGTACCGCATAGCACGCAATCATACTCGTAGAATTATTGAAGAGAGTGATAAATTGAGGGACAGTTTGGATTATCGGAGAAAAAATCTCGAACAACGGCAGAAAGAACTGGCTAAGCTGGAAGCACTAAACGAACGCGAAAGAAAAGGACTTGATGAGGAGATGCAAAAGGTGATTTTGTTATTCATTATCCAGCTTCTTTTTGTTTTAAATGCTCATGGTTACTATTAAGAATGTGCTTAGATGTTAGAAATCTTGGCTTTCAGTTAAGGGGAAAAAAGTCTTGCATTGCCTTTGGCACATGTCAAGTAGACAACTGTTGTAAGGCTTACTTAATTGTTACTTTATAGCTGCTGTTAGTAGGCTATTGGACAGTTACAATTACTTGTTTGTTTCTTTTTTCTTTATTCTTATTATTCTGATTCTAGGATATGCCGCTAGGGGCATACTTGTAATTTCTGATTCTTTTATGAAGTTAATATAAATAGAAAACTGGCGGCAGCCAGTAGTGACTTTTTTCCTCTTTCTCTCTCTCTCTCTCTCTCTCTCTCTCTCTCTCTCCCAATCCCCATGAATCACCACATGGTATCAGAGCAGGTTTTCTGGGTTGAAAAAGACCTACGATCCCTCCTGCCCTATTCTTAAAAAGTGTTTGGATGTGGCTGTTTCTGCAGAAACCCTAGTAGTTTCTGGCGGCAGCTTTTGTGATTTCTTTTTTTCTTGGCCATAATAGCAAGAAAACCCTAGTCGGAGAAGGGTGATGCTGGTGCAGACTCTTCTATTCGATGCTGTGAAGTCAAGTTCAGATTAGCACCTTCGTACAAGTGCTGAACAGGTGTGTTTTTTTGTTTCAGTTTGTCTCAGCCTTCTTTGGCCGATGGTGCGTAGGGCTCAAGCCTTGATTATATAGTTATTCGTTTGGACGTTGGATGTTTAGAGTGTGTGAATTACAGTCAGACCGATTGTAATGTCTGTATCGGTGGTGCTGAACCGATTACCAGACTGGTTTATTGTTCTGTTTGGACGTTGTGTTGACTGAACCCCTTGTTCTCAGCAGTATTTAATGATTCTTTTGCTCACATTCTAAGAGTAAACCCTGAGTTGCTCACATTCTGATTGTGGCGGCTGTGTTGTTGGGTGG